TGTTAGGCACCAGCCTAGCAGGTCCACCAGTGAGAAATCTTCCAATTCGTCTTTGTTCACTCTGTTCAGTTAGAAAACAAACCTAATCTAAATTAAAGCTATGTTTGCCTGCTCATAATGTATATATGAGTAGCAATTCTTTAAATTGTTTAAAATACCAATTTGAATGGAAAAGGAATTGACAGTGGCAATTAAAATCATAACAAGATTTGTACTGTTTTGACACCTGTAACCAAACGCACAACTATCTCAATCACATTTCTCCCTGATTTTGAGGAACGCTTTCTGCCAAGAAATATTCTGGAGATGTTGCCAAGGTTCTGTAAATTATACTCCTGAATAACTTTAAATAAACAACTGCAAAAATTTCTAAGGATATAAAAAATTTTAAACAGTAGACATATTTGAAGGGTGCAAAATACTAATAACACAAGAACTGGCAAGCACCATCGCCATAGCACTTCTATTCTGAGTGTAAGCAATATTTACAATCTTAACAGATTTAATTTAGAAATGCAGTCTTATAACTCTGTCAGTATTTATTCATTCACTTCACAAATACAGTCCAACATACTGTAAGCAGCATGTTGAGATGTTTGTTCGCACCAGTGTGAAACGAACGGCAAAATTTCGGGATTCTTCATTTGAACAAAAAATCTTTCGTTACTGTTCATTTTTCGAATGTCAAACAGACATCTGTTGGTAATATCCGTAACATTTTCTCTCGCTTTTTGGATCACCATGTACGCCAGCGAATACTTCTTTCAGAGCCTGGCAACTGCCGGGAGAGAGCTTAGAGCCCTGCGGCCACCGCTGCCCCCGAGACCGTACTGCGGGGCTGGAGAGCGTGGAAAGGATGGGCAGGCGCTCCCTTCCGCGCTCACTAACAGCCCCTCCGTGTTGCCTTCACGAATTTTCAGATCTAAACGTTCCCCACCTAAATCCCTCACTGACGATTTTCCCTGCCGCTTAGGACCTCGCTCCCTGCTTCCCTTCGCACCGACCTGCAGGTCGCTCTGTGCAGACACAAAAGCGCGAGACGCTCGGTGCCCAGCCCCCAGGACCGCACGGAGGAGGGGGCAGCTGTGGGAGTGTCCGGAGAGACA